TAAGTCTAATGACTTAGGCAAAATTCAGGAATAAAAATCCAAGACAAAATAAACACTGAGTGTGCTGGGATTCTTCTTTTTTTTTTTTTTTTTTTTTTGACAGGATCAGGGATTGAACTCAGGCCCTTGCACTTGCCAGGGAAGCACTTATTCTATTGAGCCATCTCCCAGCCGTGAGTGTGCTGGGGAGATAGCTCAGTGGCATAAGTGCCTGCCTAGCAAGCGCAGGGTCCTAAGTTCAATCCCCAGTACTGCAAAATAAATAAATAAATGAACAAACCCTGAGTTCTCTGCCCAAGGGCCAACCAGGAAGGCTTGAGGAGTAAGGTACGGAGATAAACGGAAGGGTTAAAAGGCAAAGAACCGAGCCAGGACTCCTCTCCACGAGGGCACTGGTGCAGCCCAGTGAGCCCCTGCAAAGGAGGCTCCCCCAGTATTCTTAAACAAAAAGGACTAAAAAAGTATCTCTGAAAATTATCTCATTTGAAAAAAAATATACATGTGAATAAAAGCCCACAAAGAGCACACATTACATTAATAGTAAAGATCCTGGGAATGGCAGGATAGGAACCATAAGTAGCTTTTATTTCCTTTTTAAATTTATTTATCTGTTTTCTAATATTTCTAGTATGAAAATATGTTATTTTGCAATTATAAAACTGAAACTTACATGAAGCTCGCACCCCACATGGAACCCAGTCTGTACCCTGGGCGCGCCAGTCCAGCTCTCTGGGGGCCTGCCGTGCCGCCTTCCTCTGTGGTGTGTGGACTCAGACTGGACCCCTGCTAGATGCCCCGGTATCATTGGCTCGAGCTGCCTCTTCCTGTGGGGACGGCGGGGGCATGGTGGGAACAGAACTCCATGTCCGTCTTCAGCAGGGTCCTGGAAGTCACCCCAGACATGGAGCCTAGATAGGAGCTTTCCTGCTGTTTTCGAAGCACCTTTGCCAGCCGACGCTGGTGCCTGGTTGTTGCTGTTTTCTGAGACACAACCCGACACTCCTGCGCCACAGAGACAGGCCTCATTGAAGGAAAACATATTTCATGACCACCCCAATGAAAATGACGCCCAGCCATCGAGATTTCAAACATCTAGGAGCCACTGGAGCTGCAGAAGGAGGAGTAGAAATCACTGGAGCAACCCTGCCACGCCCAGAGCACAACGGAGACCTCTAGGCATCAGGTGCCGAGGCCGCAGGGTTCCTCACTCTTACCAAGACATGAGGATGGAATGTAGCTTAAGATGCTTCGGAAGTGGCTCTCCTTTTTCCTGGAGCCTTGTCCCAGTGGGCTAAAGGAAGGACAGTGAAGAACATGGACGAATAGTGATGTTCTATTATCCAAGGATAATGGACGAATGGTCCCTGTTTGTGGAATTTCAGCTTCAAGAACAGTTGTTTCTGGGGTAAAAACTCCTCCCTTGCCCGCCTTCACATGAGGGTGCACGGAAGCACCTGGGTTGGCTGTGCCAGGCGCTGGGGTGTGCAGGGCTTCCAGAGGCCTGGGGCACCTCTGCAGTAGGGTGGTCAGTCCTTCCGGCCACGGCTGGTGGCCCATGCTGTGTGGGGCTTGAAGCCCGCCTGCCAGTGGGCTCCTCTGGGGCTTCTGGGCAGGGCGCTGAGCCCACGTCCTCTGCCCGAGCATTGCTCTGAGCACATCTGGCCAGCCCTGCGCAGGTGTCAATCTGGAGAGAAAGCCTGGGACCCAGGTACCCCGCTTCTTGCTTCTCACATCCTCCTCTGTTAGAGGAACTTCTGCATTGTCAGCGAACCCCTCCCCAGAGCTGGAACTCTGTACAAGACTGAGTCCAAAACGACAAATTAATCTGTCAGTGAGTGAGGTTCGAATACATTGTCCATTTTTCTTTGGTGATGGGGATTGAATTCAGGACCTTGTGCGCGCTAAGCAGGCGCTTGATCATGAGCTGCCCCAGTGCACTGTTTTCATGATAATAGAGGCTGCTTGCGAGGACGGGGATGGTTTGGGTAAGTGCCCCTAAAGGCTCGCAGGTTACAGGCCCAGCCCCAGCCGTGGTACTGGTGGAGGGCATGGAGCCTTGAATAGTGGGCCCAGCAGGGGCTCGCGCTTACATGGGGCTGCCCCGAGGAGGGCTACTGGAACCCTGCCCCTCCTCCTCCTCTCTTTGCTTCCTGGCTGCCATGAGGTGACCAGCTTCCCCCGGCGTACTGCCATGTTGTGCTACCTGCCACAGGCCCAGAACAACGGCCACAGACCATGGCTGAAACCTCCAAAACTGTCAGCCCAAACAAAGTTTTCTTTTCTTTTTTTCTTTTTTTCTTTTTTTTTTTTTTTTGTATTTTAGCAGAGGGCCTACAGAGTGTTCATGGTCTCACTACTACGTCGGACTCGTAGTGATCTGCCTGTTTACAGCCTCCCAAGAGCTGGGATTACAGGCGTGCACACCACACGGTCTCAATTGACGTCTCAGTGCCCCCCAGGGGCGGGGCAGCACGGCAGGCCTGGGATTGAGCCCCTGGCCCCTGCACCTGCCTGCAGTCACTTTAAGCTCTAAGCTATTTGGCCAGTCGCCAAACAAAGCTTTCTAAGCTAATTATCTTATGTATTTTGTTACAGTGCTGAATTGCTTACTGACACAAGGATTTAAGTGAAATCTGCCCAAATTTGCCATGTTGATCCCTTCCCCCAAACTTCCTAAGGCGGAAGCCATGAGGAGGTAAACACCAAGGTTTGCCCTACGCTATGCTACGCTTTGTAGTGGGACATGGTGGCTGGGAGATGCCAGGGCTCCAGGGGCCACTGCAGAGGAGAGCCAAGAGGCCTCCTGTCTTTGGGGCGTCCTGGAATGATGGCCTGCAGGTCATCACCAGTGTTTCCTGGTGAGCTTTCCTGGGTGGCATCAGAGGAACCAGAGGGGGCATGAGCTCCTGCCTGCAGGGGATGAACATTATCAAGAATTACGGGTCTGCAAGGCCAGTGTCTTCTGCGCATCTCCACGTGCCTTAATACAGTGCCGTGGCGCACATGTGCAGGGACGGGAACCACTGCCCTTAGATGCTGGGAGGCTTCTCTGCCCAGTGTGGACGTCTTGCCAGGCAGACGGCTCTCTCGATTCCAAAACACATATCACTGTGGTGAAACTAAGACAGATGGGGATTTTCTCAGAGTATTTATTGGGAATGCAAAATTCCACAGGAATACACAGCACCTTGGCTTGGTGAACCAAGCAGACGGAGGGAAGGAAATCTCGCACGGCCCCAGGCTGATGGAAGGAAGCTTCCTGGAGGAAAGGGTCACATACATGTTTCTTTTGAGTGACACTGGGAAATGGGCCCAACGCCGATCACACGCTGGGCAGGAGCTCTACCACGAGCTGCGCCGCTGCCCCTGAGGAAAGATACTTGGACAGATTCCATGAAGTGGCACGGTGTGGCCGAAGGCACTCGGGTCAGCCCACAGGAGGCCCCTCTCTGATGGAGAGCACTGTGAAGCGGCTCTGAGCAGAGTTTAATATTAACCAGCTGGCCTTTCGTATTTACCTGTGAATCTGTCCAAGGCCTGGGTCCTTGTCTGGAGATGGGCAGAGGACTCATAGTAAGTGAACCTCTGCGAGTCATTGGTCCCTGCGAGGCCTATATTGCCCATGAAGCCTCAGTGGATCAGACAAAGTTGGCTCCAACCTCAGTTAAGTGGATAAATACCGTGGCTGCTGGCATCTCACTCCTGAGTGGAGGCCTTCATGGAAATAACACAGTTCTGCCAAATTAACACAATGTCTTACTTGGAGAAGCCCTTGAGCGGACTTCCAAAGTCCTCCCAAGATCCTTCGCAGATTCTCACCTTTCTTTAGTAGTCCCCTCCCTTGCTTTGATAGCTAAATAAATATGGGCTGCCCAGAGAAGATTTTTGTCTTAGCCCCCAGAAAAATCTCAAATTCTATTAGAGGGTTTTGATCCTCCTGGGGCACACAAATCATACCACTTGGCTCTTTATGTAAAGCTTCTCTGTCCACTCACTTGGGACACTGCAGGCCTGATCAGTCTGCAGTAACTAAGGGGCAATATTAATGCGTTAGCTCCCCCCAGGAAAGATGGGGCGATGTGAACTGGGATATCCACAGATGGAAGTGCAGGTGGGGCTCATGTTGCAGCGAGGAGGGAGAGGGGATATCTGGCAGGAGGTGGACGGGGACATTTGCCAGTGTGCGGCCCTTTGCAGAAGAGGCTAGCATGGTCATGAGGAGACTGCTAGCAGCTGCTCATGGTGAGCACTAAGGTTTGGATGATTTGTTCCTCAAAGGTTCACATGTTGGCACCTGGGCTCCAGAGTGGTGGTGCTGAGAGGTGCTGGGCCTCAAGAGGCGGGGCCTAGTGGATCTTGGTTAGGGTATTGAGAAGTTGCATTTGGAGGAGATGAAGGTAGTTCTCAAAAGACCTTAAACTGGTTCTCTTGAGAGCATTGTTGTCCCCCCACCCCCGTCCTTGTAAGACAGGGTCTTTGTATGTAGTTGAGGCTGGACTTGAGCTCACTTTGTAGCCCAGGCTGGTCTTGAACTCACAACAATCCTGGTTAGCCTCTTGAGTGCTATGAGTATAGGTATGCACCACCATACTTGGCTTGAGAGGGTTTTAAAAGAGAAGAAGTTTAGCGCTTCCACTTGTTCTGGGTTTTCATGTCCCCACATGAGCTCTCCTTCTTGATGTCTCCATCCACCATGAGCCATTTGCCAGAGCTGAATGGAGGCTGTTGTCACACCCTTGCTCAGAGATGTGAGCTAAAGAAATCTCTTTATAAAGCACTCAGCCTCAGATATTTTGCTATCGTAACAGAACATAGACAGAAACAATGAGTGAGTCATAAAGAGAAAGCAGGGGCTGAAGAATCCTGCATGGAAATTCTAGAAGAGTAGAGTTATGTTACCCACCCTGGACAGGCCTTTCAGCAGAGTACAGCTCAGGGCAGCAGGACAGAGTGGGCCTTGGGACAGCCCCCACCCTGGGTTTGTGACTTGGAGTGAGCTACGTAATTTGTAAGGTGCTGATCATAATGGTATTTACCTCAGTGGTTTGAAGTGCTTCAGGAAATAATGCCGAGGATTGTGTATCTGCGGACCCAGGCAGTGTGGCCAGCAGCATGAGGCCACCATGAAGTTCTCTGATATTGCTGGTGGTAGTACTGATACAGGAAATCAACTGTAAAGTGCTACCTGAATATAATTTTGATGTTAGCTTGCATAGGTTGGAAAACATTGGAAGGTACATTCTCCACCCAGAGGCATCTATGAAGGAGCAGGAGTGGGTATAGAAAAGGAGCTGGAGATGGAAAATGCTCAAGCTGGAGCCCCAGAAAAGCCAGAAATAAGACCTGACACCCAAGAAGAAGCACACGAAGGTGACACCAATGGTAAGTGGGCTGGGGTACGGGGTGTGCTCTTGGGAAGTGGGGCAGCGCCATGCTGATGAATGAATGATGCATTGGGATCACACCCCGCTGAGCCTTCTGCGGGTGAAACTACTTTACACACTGTTCCTCAGACTGCATTCGTGGTCTATAAGAATGACATCACGCTTTCTTGAAGTAGATCATCAAACGTTTTTTGTTTCTTTTGCATTTTTATTTTATCTATTTACTTTTTTGTACAGAAAGCCCACTACAGGTTCCATCCAGCAATGTGGCTCTTCGGGTCCCAGAGGTCTTGAACACAGCACAAGCCAAGGGGAAGAAGGGCTTTCTCCCTGTGGCTAGCAACACACTCCACTTGTCCATAGAGGAGTCTGAGTTCCCACAGAAGGACAGTGATGTCCCCAAGTTCCCAGAAAACATCACGCATCACAAGAAAGGCAAGATCTCTGGATCTTCAGCTAAAACCACACAGCCCAAGCATAGCAACACCCCCAATTCCTTGGTGAAAACCACCCACCCCAAACAGGGGAACACCCCCAAGTCCTCAGAGGAAACCATCCAATCCAAAGAGTATAATACCCCCACATCCTCAGAGGAAACAACTCAGGCCAAAGAGGGTAACACTGCCAAGTTCTCAAAGACGACCAACCAGTTCAACCCAGGGAACATCCTCAAGACCTCAGAGAAAATCAGCCAGTTCAACCCGGGAAAAATCCTCAAGGCTTCCGAGAAAACCAATGAGTTCAACCCAGGGAACATCCCCAAGGCCTCAGAGAAAACCAATCAGTTCAACCCAGGGAGAATCCTCAGGGCCTCCGAGAAAACCAATGAGTTCAACCCGGGGCACACCCTCAAGGCCTCAGCAAACACTATCCAGTCCAAACACAGTAACATCCCCAAGTCCTTAACAAGAAATACCCAGCCTAAACAAGAGAGTATTCCCAAATCTTTAGAAAGTAAAATCCAATCTAGAGAAGGTGACATCCCCAAGCCCTCAGAAGAAACCGCTCAGCCCAGGGAGGACAAAATCCCTAAGTCTTCAGAGGAAACCAAGGAGCCCAAGGAGGGTGACATCCCCAAGCCGTCAGAGGAAACCCCAGAGCCCAAGGAAGACGCCAAAGAAGAATCAGTGGAGCTCCCTGAGGAGGACATGGTGAAGGTGATCATGGGCAAGGACGACTTCAAGGAGGCACTCAAGGAGGCTGGGGAGAAGCTGGTGGCCGTGGACTTCTCAGCCACATGGTGCGGGCCCTGCAGGACTATCCGGCCACTTTTCCATTTGCTCTCTCTGAAGCACAACGATGTTGTGTTCCTGGAAGTGGATGTCGATGACTGTGAGGAGCTGGTGAAAGAGTGTGAGGTCATTTGTCTCCCAACCTTTCACTTTTATCAAAATGAGGAAAAGGTGGGTGAGCTTTGTGGCGCCCATAATGAAAAACTCGAAGCAATTATTACAGAATTAAAGTAACCATATATTCTAAAAGCATTGTGAACTTCAGGTTATAGCTTATGTTTTTATTCTTAATTTGCAAAATAGAACAACTATAACAGATTATGTCTAAATGACACAGCTTTTTAAGTTGTGAGTGTAAAGACTGGCCTTTCAGGGCACAGGGCAGCACAGCATGTTGTGACCAGGGCTCTGACGACAGAAGAGAGGTCAGAAAGTCTCTGGGCGGAGATCAGAAGCCCTCTTCTCCATTGTTTTTCCAATCGACTTTGAAAGTTCTGCTCACTAAATGTTTGCAGCCACATTAAATTTCAGAGAATTCTTCCATAGTGTATGTGGCTACAGATACGTGACAAGTTCTCTGCCATGCATGCAGATTTGTGGGGGCTCTGAGCAATTCTCTTGGACATCAGCTGGCAGCGTCACACTAGCTCACCTCCTCCTCCTCACATGGGAGTGCTGTGGAGCCCGCGGGCCAAGCTCTGTTCCAGCCTCCGAGCCGGGCGAGGAGCACCCACAGACTGAGGTGATGCTCAGCATTTCAGGGTTCTCGGGGCCTCAGCCCTTGGGCTCCTTGCCGCCTTGTGACATCAGGTCCATGCTGGCAAAGCCCCTGCTTTGTTGGCCTGGCAACAGGGTTCCTAGTTCCATTCCCTGGTCTCGCTGAGCCCAGAGGCCAGGTGCGGCCACGGGGTGGTCTGTTCCACAGGGTTGTTACTTGCTCAACACATGGCTGAGGTCTGTATCCTAAGAACCTCATGCACTGGCTGTGGGCAACTGGGTGAGCTTGGCTAAAGGCACACCCTGGTGACCCCAAGGCCTCTGAGTTGCTGGCATCCTCCTGCTTTTCTTATAATTTGCAGGACACTGTTCTTGTTGATGAGCTCTGCCTAGCAATGCATTTTAAGTGGCCGGTGCCAGCTTGCTAGCCCCGGGCACCACGCAGCACGGCAGGTCTCTAGGATCCATTCACTGCAGGGCTGAACTCTTGCACCTGCCGGAGGACTATTCCAACTAGTCCTTGCCCCACTGGGTGCTCATCACACTACCACTGGCTCAGAATGATTTTTTTTTTTAAATATGGATTTGTTGCAAATATTTTAAGAACTGTGATTCCCTTTAAAGTCTAGATTTCCAGCTTTTCCTGAAAAATGCTGAGCTCTGGCAAGCTAGGGCTCACATTACTGTGAGAGACAATCTTCTCCTGGGAGCTGAGTGGCAGCTTTCCCTCTGCATGGGGCCGCGCCCTCCGGTCTGCCACACAGCCCGCAGCTTTGTTCGGCCCTCATCATAGGCCATAAAGCAATCCCTAGGGCAAGTGTGAGAGTGGGGCTGCTGTCACCCTGCGTCCTGTCCCTGGGCTGCGCTTGGTGAGAACCTCAGGCACAGGCCCCATTATCAGCGGCTGCCTCACAACAGACAGAGCCATGATGCGCCCGCTTGGCCTTGTCCGAAGCTGCTTTGGAGCGACCTCGGGATGCATTAGTGATGAGGCTGCTCAAGCAGAGGAAATCGGAACCACAGTGGGTAACCTGTGGGCTCTGCGGGCCTGCGGAATTGCTTTCAGCGACTGCTGGACTTTTATTTTGAGCTTCTTGATGGTCAGGAGAGGAAAGGGGACCTCACTGACACCCAGATGTCCTTGACCAAAATGAGCAAGTTCACAATGTGAAAAGGGAGCCAGAGCTGTCCCTTCACTTGGTCCTGAATGCAGTTCTCATCCCAGACCCTAACCGTAAGACACCGAACATTAGTTACGTTCCAGATGAGGGTTTCTTTCCTCTTTTCTTTTCTTTCTTTCTCTTTCTGTATGTCTTTTCTTTCTTCCTTTCTTTCTTTGTCCTCTCCTTCTTCCTTCCCTCCCTTTCTTCTTTCCTTCTTCTTTTTTCTCTTTTCTCCCCCCCCCCACCTTCTGCAGTAGTAGGGATTGAACCAAGAGCCTTCACACTGAGCTACATCCCCAGTCGTCCTCCTCCTCCTCCTCGTCGTCCTCATCCTCGTCCTCCTCATCCTCCTCCTCCTCCTCCTCCTCCTCCTCCTTGTAAGATAGGGTTTCACTAAGCCACTAAATTGCCCAAATTGGTCTTGTAATCTTCCTGCCTCAGCTTCCCAGAGTTCTGGGATCATAGGTGGTTACCATCATGCCTGGCCTTTAGTGAGATTTCAAAAGTAATAAATTCACAACAGTTTTAGATGGCTACTCCTGGTAATAATCTTTAATAAAACCAAACCTATAATGCCAAAGCATTTTTTTCAGTGAAAAGATTCCAGATTCAAGTATGTGCCTTTTGCATTTGTATATTAAAGGGCTTTTTTGATGGTGGCTATGTCCTTTCTGTTCTTCTCTGGTGGAGGGACCTTCCTCTGGCTCTTTCATTCCTGTTTGCCCTTGAAAAGGACTGGCTTTATCCTGACTGTATCAGCTTAGCACACACACATACCCAGACCTTCATGAACCAAGCTGCCCCTGTCTAGACAACTGAGCAGGCCCCACCATGCTTCAGGCTGTATGGTTCAAAGGACCAGTGACTCTGAAATCCAACATTAGTGACCTAGAAGTTGTTTTCTGGGACTATAGTACCAAAGACATTTGTAACAATACTCTTCACAGTATTTAAGTTACTAAGTGATGTTGGGGACAGTGGTCTTAAAAACTCTTGAACAATGACAGTGACCATAGATTTTTAAGGTTATTCAAGAGTATTCTTGATATAAGTCAAGGGAGGTACACAAAGTAAAACTGTATTGAGGCAATTAAGGCCAAGAGGACACAAGCAGGTGCCACTCTGATCCAGTCCAGTGGTCCAGGATGAAAGCAGTGTGGCAATGTGTACCCTGAGGACTTGTGCTGTGAGTGTCATTGCTTGTGGCCACAGCCAGGCAGCGGCCTGGGCAGAGGTGTCCTCTGATAGAGATACTGACTGTGGAGATGCTGAGTGCATTTTATTTTACAGTGTGAGAAAGGAACATAAATTTACAAGGAACCAACCAGGCCATTGTTTTTACCTCGTGTATATAACATGAAGGAGAAATAAGGATCTCTACAGAGAAGGAGGATTCCAGATGATCCTGTGGACTGTGAGTGGCGAAGACCTAACCAGACCCGAGTTGCCGGAAAATCCCGTTAGGTTGAACAAGAAAATGAAGTGGCAGTCATAGGCGAATGTCCTCAACCAATAGCGCCCCTGTGATTCAGCGGTGACTATCTGGGATCAATATGGAAACAGTGTCAGTCACAATGGTGATAAAATAAAATGTCCAACAATAGTCCTTCGAGAAGTGAAGCACAAAGTAGGCTTGAATCCTGAGAGTCAGGCCATGTTCGTGGCGGAGAAGAAGACTAAAGGAAGTCGACCTTCTCCTTCCTGCGCGGCAGAATTCCAACAGTGTCACCAAGGACTGTGGGAGAACCTGTCAAGACACTTCAAAGTTAATTGAGCAGAACAGAGTGGAATGTGTAGGAAAAGGAGAAGGAGGGGAGACGACTCCTCTGGCTGCTACTTCAGTGCGTAACTGGTGCAGCGATGGCGAGACAGCGGCATTGGTAATGGAGAAAAGAGCGAGGAGACCTAACACTATCTCAGCCTCGGACCCTGGCACCTGAGTAATAAGATGTGACAAAAGGGAACATTTCAACTTGAAGGAAGATGAGTGGTTTTTTCCCCCAAAAAATTATACAGTGAAATTTTGATATTTGAGGGGAAAGAAAACTTCCATTCCCATGCCAGAACCAAAATAAATATAAGTTGGATTAAAGAATATGCAATCATCAAAAAAACAAACAAAAAAATAGCTAAACATTTATTTGATTCTAGGGTGGAAAAAGAATTGTCTAAACACAAATGTAATTAAATAAATTTGAACATAAACTTTTCCATGAAAACATATAAATAAAATTAACAGGACACAAAAGATGGAATAATATTTATCAAATGAACAACAGGATTTAGTAGATTTACCATAAAATATTCTTACAATGGCACATGCCTATAATCCCAGCACTGCGGAGGCGGAAACAGGAGGACCACTACAAGTCTGAGCTGTGTCGTGAGACCCTGTGCCAAGTAGACAATATAAAATAAAATTTAAAATATTCTTACAAATGAGGCATAGTGGCATGTGCCTGTAACCCCAGCACTTTGTAAGGCTGAAGCAGGAGGGCAAGTTTAAGCCCCAGCTGGGCAACTTGGAGAGACCCTGTCTCAAAAACTTCGAAGAGGAGTGGCATTGCGGTTCAGTGTGAAGGCCTTGGGGTTCAATCCCCAGTCCCACACACAAGAAAAAACATAAAACAAGAACCATCCTTTTATAGAATAGTAAGAAAAATGTAGTATTCCCCTAGGAAAATAGGCAAAAGATACATTCAGTTCCTATTAAAGGGCAAATTGTAATAAACATGAAAATTTTCATTAATGGCTTTGGAATAAACAGGTAAATATAGACAAAAGCCAGCAAGAGTTCCATGTTCCATAGTAGGGCTCAGGAGTGGGCGGAGAAGCACTGGTCCCTGCGTGGCTGATGAGAGCTCAGACTGCCACAGCCCCCTGGGAGGCGGCCGCACGCCGGGCGCACACGGCCCAGCGCATTGCAGCGTGCGTCTGTCTGCTCTGCTGCACGACAAATGCCACAGCGTGGACATTTATGCCTTGCTGCTCCACAGCCTGCGAGTCCACAGCAAGGGGGCTGTGGGGTTGATTTCTGGCCAGGGCTTCACTCCCCAGCTGGCAGGTGGCTGCCTTTCTGCAGCACTGTCCCTGCCTGGTCACCTTGTGCCCGTTCATCCCTCGTGTCCGTGTGCCCAGACTTCTTCCTCTTACAAGGACACTGGTCAGCTACAGTAGACCAATCCTAAGGGCCTCCTTCAGCTTTATCACCTTTTTAAAGGCCCTGCTCAAAGCAAATCTTAGGCTCTGGGGATCAGGATTTGGGAAGGCGCAATTCAGCTCACATCTGCTTACGACTAGGCTCAGAGGCCAGAGAAGGAGAGTCCTTTGGGGGTGCGTGACCTAGAAAGCCAC